CGGTGGTGAGGTGGAAGCGAGGATGGGATATGGGGTTGGAAGTGATGTGGCGGAAGGAAGAGTCGTGTGGGGGGGCAGCGGAAGCAGGAAGCGGGGAAAGCGGATGAGAGAGGGGTAGAGAGGGTCGGGACTGCGAGCAGGGAAGGAAGCGGGAGTGAGATTGGAATCACCGGAGAAGAGGGAGGAGGAGGAGGAGGAGGAGGAGAAGAAGGAGAAGGACGACGACGAGGACGAGGACAAGGACGAGGTCGACGAGGAGGAGGAGGAGGAGAAGCAAGAGGAGGAGGATGGCGAGGACGAGGAGGAGGAGGAGTTCGACAAGGACTAGGAGGAGGACATCGAGGTAGACGATGAGGGAGGAGGTCGACAAGGACGAGGACGAGAAGGAGGTCGACGAGGACTCGGAGGAGAACACCAGACCCTTATGAGCTTAAACTTTGGACAAGATTTCGGCCTAAAAACTCAATTTCCATGTCGTTCAAAAAGTATAATATGTGACTATTATATCCGTTTTGACGAAATGGTTGTTCTACCTTCATTACTTCTTATCGCATCTCCCACCAGACGTACCTTGGCATTCGCAATAACTTCTCTGTCTCCATTGCTTTAACCATCACTCGTTCCAAGAGTTTCAACTACTCCGATACTCTTTCTCCTTTGAAATGAAAGATACTGATTTTCGGTAGATGGGATTGTATCACGTCTGTTTTCTCTAATGCTTTCATCAACCGATATGGCCCGATTTATAGGGCCTCTTCGTGACAGACTTCTATTTGCGTCCCCCATCTTCAACGTCTTAGTTTTTCCCTGAAAATACAACCCAAAGTAGCACATCACCAATCATTACCAACCCTTCACACAATATTCTCTCTGCTAACTCCCTTGCTACTCTTTATTGTGACAGTGATTATTTAGTACTTTAGTAATCTTTTATAATTTCAATCCACTAAAAACCTATAGGAAGGAATTTTTATACCTATGCTACCACACGTGTCACTGTCATGACAACTAAGGTAGCTTGGCAGAAATATTCAGGTACCAAAGATGTTTGCTCGGGTAACCGAACACGCAAAGTCGCATTTAATGCAAACGACTATCAATCTAAGGCATTAAATACGCATAGAGTCATCCAAATTACTCTATGGTACCCGAATCCGCAAATTCCTAACATGAGTTGCCACTACTAGGTGCCAAAATACACATGCACTCCTATCATGCATAGCCTTTCGGTAGTGTGATCCTATCACAACAATCAACATACCACTCATCATTCTTTTATCTAACATAATCAACAAAAAATGTCGTTTTACCATAATCATCAGTCTGCTTCTAACCTTGGTCCGTTCAATAAGGAATTAAGTAGACAGCCGAGATCACCGGCAACGGCGCCACGTGTCTAGCGCATCTGTCCCCCAAGGGGAGGATCCTCCCCCTTGTAGGACAATGCACTCGACACTATCTGACTGCGTGTATGTTCGCTCACACACACATGCTTATGTAAAGACTGTGTAAGTGTAAGTGCGTAAAAGTGTATGTGTGAGTGTGTATGCGTGAGTATGTATGTGTGAGTATGTATGTGTGCGTGTGTGTATATGTGCGTGTGTGTTTTTTGTTTTTTTTTTCAACAGTTAATCAATCAATCAATTAATCACATAATCAATATCTTATTATGGTTTTTTTTTTTCCGTACATTATGTCGCAGGGGGAAAGAAAACCCTGCATAACGAAAAGTTGTCCAAATTTATTGTTGTTTTTATAAACCCTTGACAAAAGATTAATGATTATGCCCATCGTTAAGATGTAATAGGCTAGGCTACCAGAGTGGCCCAAGTCCACTTGCCCGACCGATCAAAAAAGAAAAAATAAATTAAAAATTAAAATTTTATTTTTATTTAAATTTTTATTTCAAATTTGGTATAGAATTTCGATGTGACCCTGAGGCAAAATAAATTCAGTTGTGTAGCATCGTGTTCGGGTTCGGTGACCGAACCCGAACATTAAAAAAAAAAAAAAAAAAAAAAAAAAAAAAAAAAATCTTCAAAAAATCTAAAAAAAATATATGTTATGTAAAATAATAATAAAAACAACTTTTGCCTTGGAGGTATGAACAAATTCGTAACCAAACTCGAGTTAAAAATTAAAAACCAAAAAGTTTTTTTTTTTTTTTTTTTTTTTTTTTTTTTTTTTTTTTTTTTTTTTTTTCATCGTCGCTAGGTTGCGGCCTCGACCACGCATGGCCGCCGTCGGGGGGGATTCATAGAGCCGTGCTACTTGATGTCTTTTCGAGCGGAAAGGCAGGGGTACGCACGTGGGATCTCGTTTTCGCATTGAGTCCCGGCGTCATTCGTTACAGAGCTCGGAATCTGACGTGGACGACCTCAGGCTGGTCGCTCTTTCCTTATATTTGTCATCGCCACATGTTTGGTTGTGGAACGCCTTTTCCCAATAACTTCCGGTGCGGCTGCAATCGCTACACAGAGTGTTGGCCCAATGAGGTGCCACTACCGTCCACGGGATGACAATACACTCGATAAAATGCAATAATAATGAGTGCGAGGGAAAATGGGAATCAATAATGAGACGTCTCCCCATCGGACTTGGTTGAGACTGCCCTATTCGAACGACGTACGCTTTGTACTTAGGAGACCAATGCCCTAAGGGACGAAACGATGTCTGGGTTCAATAGGCGTTTTAATCATGCTTATCAATACTACAGCAAGTGAGCAAACGCTCTCGACTGACCCTGTGTATACCGCCGTAAGAATATGCATTGGCCCGCTCATACGTATTTGTCGACCGTACGAATGACCCCTTGGCAGTCGTACGACCCGTTTGTACAACTATACCTTACCTTTTTGGGACCATCTCGAGGGAAGGCGGGGCGAGGTGTGGGAAGGCAGGGAAAGGAAGGTGGCAGATTTTTATTATTATTATTATTATTTTTTAGCGCCGCGATGGGCGACNAAAAATCTTCAAAAAGTCTGAAAAACATATATGTTATGTAAAATAATAATACAAACAACTTTTGCCTCGGAGGTATGGTCAAATTCGTAACCAAACTCGAGTGAAAAATTAAAAACCAAAAAGTTTTTTTTTTTTTTTTTTTTGAATATGCTCGACTGAGCATGTTCGGGAACACCCGAACATGTTCGGATGTTCAGAAAAGCTCTGAACATGTTCAGTGTGCTACACAGATATTCAGTTTATATTTCTGCATGACATAGTTTTTTTTCATTTTTTTGGATTTTGATTTTTTTTTTTTTTGGTTGGGGCCTTTCCTAGTCCTTGCATGGCCGGGCCGCTCGGGAAAATAGGGTGACCCGGACGGCCCAGCTGGTAGCCTATGTAATAGATATATAAACAAAATACAATATATATCATATTTCACAAATACGACATTTAGCCATCCATATCAGTGAGGAATAAACTATAATTTCAATTATGTGATAACTTATTAATTCATGATACATGATATTCACGAATAATTTTATTGTCAATTGTGCATTAAATATATAAAAGTAAATAATAGTAAAAAGAATTATCTTCCAAATGCTATGTTATCATTTTGAAGTTCGACCAATATTTTAATTGAACCTTTATCTAAATGTGATTGTGATTTATTTTAAAAGTTTGTCAAGAGTTAAGTCTTATTTGTTTTATATACACATCCTTCGTTATTTATTTTTTCTCTTGACTCTTAAAAAGAAAACAGAAAAATTTTGAGAGAATTAAATAATTATTCCATACAAAACTTACATTCAAGAAATCAAATTTTCATCTAGGCTACTAAAGTGGCCCGATTAGATTAGATGATGGTAGAGAAAGGATATCAGAAAAGATATCAAATCACACATACTTTTTTTTTCTTTTTTTCTTTTTTTTTTTGAGAAAAAGCCCTTATGCAAGGCCTCTATCCTGGTGGTGGTAAGAGAACCACCATGATTGAGGCTTGCCTGGCGGGCCGCTCCATCTATTGGTGGGGAGCAACACCTGCTGGAAACCGGGTCCAGCGTCCCTTAGATACATCTTTATGCACAGTACGTTGTAAAGGAGATGCCTTTGCGTTGGTAACGGGGTCCAGCCTCCCCTTCAATCCACTATACCAGACCTATCTTGCAGCAGGCTTGGCTATTGGGGGGGACCCACTGGGGGGCACCAGTGGAGCCTCCTCCAACTTAGTATAATATACATTCATATGTGACAACAAATGATTGAAAAACACGCGGGTGGGTATTGGCACCCCGACCGGTTTCGACAGCCGCCACGCTGTCCTCCTCAGGGGGATTTCCACCAATCTGTCTCCCTCGTCAATTCCTACTATCCTCATTCCCACCTCCGCCTTCAACCCGCTTCCATCTCCGGACATGACCGCGGGTCTTTAGGCGTTGGACCCGGAAAGACGCGTCAATCATTATTGATATAGGATGTTCCTACTTCCTCATTACCCTGCCTATACTATTGTCGTTACTCTGTCCAAAAGGGGAAAAAAAAAATTGAGTAGCCTTTTTTACCCACATGTTACCGATTCAAGGCTAAACTCGGCAGCTGCTGTCTACTGACCATCAAGTCTACCTCCTACCAGCCACGTTCTGGACTACATTCCTGGTCTGCGTTCCCCATTTCAAGACCCAAATCCCAGAGACCCATACTTCGAATACTGTCGGGCCTACCTTACATCCAGCCAATTTTATGGGTCTTGTCCGGTATGGTGCTGTATACTGAAATTCCAAATACATAATCGACCGGACCCTGTCACTGTCACCCTGTCCAACCAACGAAGCAAACTAAGTCTAGAAAATTCCAGCCTTGTCACCATGACCCTGTCCAGCAACGACGAACAAAATTCAGAACCTTCAACCCTGTCGTCGTGACCCTGTCAAACGAGCGACAAACAAACTAAAATCAAAACGTCAATCCTGTCACCATGACCCTGTCACATTCCAACAAACGATAACAGGGTTAGTTCAGATACTCTTCGATATTCTGACCTAGGCAATCCCCTATCTCAATGACCATGTCACGTTTGCCTTCCAATCCTGTCGTCGTGACCGTGTCCGACACATGAAAAGCAAACTAAATTAAAAACTTCAAACCTGTCCCCATGACCCTGTCACATTTCAACAACGAAAGCAAGACTTATACGAATATACTTCAATACTCCGAACTAAGCAGATCTCCTAACACACAAACCCTGTCACATTTGACTTCAAACCCTGTCCTATATTATCCATCCTCACTACTATTTACAGTCACACTGTAACGGAACTTACTCTACGAAATCCAAATACATGATCACAAGGATGGTTCAAAAGCATACCGGAGCTTACTCTACAAAATTCAAAATTCATGATCACAAAGATGACGAAATCACTGGCAGGAGGCAAAGGTCGAGGACTGTAGATGGATTGTACAACACTTACACCCCTCAGTCACTCCAATCGTACATACAACCAATCATCCATACAGCCACTCGTAGGTCCATGACCATATATCATCTCTTCCTCGAGCGAACCGCTTGAGCATCCTCTTCAGGAAGCCTGCGAGAAATTCTTTAATTCTGAGCTCCCGTTGCACGCTGAGTACCCTCCTCGGTATCGCTGCCCGATTGTTAGTATTCCTATCGATCCGCTGTAGGAAGCTACTGACTACTGCGCTTTTTTGCTCTTTGCTTCCCCACGAGCGATAGGATTGTCCACATTTGAACTCCCATCGTTCCTCCTGCCACAACGACTCTTCGTCCTTTGCTGACTGGATACATCGGACATACGGGAAGATGGGGTCGATATTCATTGTCGTACCCAAAAAATCCCAGATACCTTCACCTTCATCCGTCCTTTTCAGACACAAATTGTCCGGATAGCATGTCTCGAATCTTCTCTTGATCTCCTCCACTGGGGTCAACTTCTTACCATTCTGATGGATCACAATACTGACGTCGTTCATCAGTCTCATGCCAAACACATCCTTCCTTAGTCTACCCAGGCTCTGCAGAAACCAGAACTCTGCATACGCGCACATTAGGCAAGTCAGTATTGGGCTCGAGCTCTTGCCCATCGGGATGCCGATGGCCTGTCGCAAAATGACACCGGTCGCTTTCGTGAATGTATGCCGCAATTCCCACCTCACGTACTTGCCGATATCTTCCATATCGATCGTCCTCCAGTGATCGTCACCCATAGTGCGTCCGAATGTGCCTCCTTTCCCCTTCGTGTTGACACGGACAAGCTGCCTCCCTTTGCTCCTATGGTACTCCAGCGCCCAATCGACATCTTCGATGATGTCCTCATGCGGTAATTTACTGAACATGTCCTTAATGTCGTAGGACAAGGACACCAGTTCAGAACCCACACGCATACGTCCCTCCAACCGTGTGTTAATTCTTTTCAGTTACGGTGCTAAAGCTGAGACCGCTTTCAGATTAAAGTGCCAGCCAACTGGTAGAGTTACCAGTAGATGGTTCAGAGCTTTAGCCATTGCTTTGAACGTACGTACCGTAGGTTCCGAATATGTCGGGCATATGCCATTGGGCTTATATCGTGATAGGTCCTTATGTTTCGGCATCACGTATGCGTTGCAAATCTTCCCCTTCTTGTCCCATCTCACGACTTGTTGCAGTCCCTCTGATGCTGCTTCGTCCTTCATCCTCTTGAAAATTTTCTCCTCCGTATCTGTCTCGATGACGTAGCCCGGCGAGAGCACGAAGGTCTCCATCATCGCCTCGTAGTACACCTTCGGGCACAGTACCAGGGTTTCCCCTGGGGTCATGTCCAGTGGCGTCAATACTAAGCCCTCGAGAGCAGATTTCACTTGCCTAACTTCCCGTGGATCGAGGTACTTCTCCTTACATTGCTGACCCCCTATCATACACTTGGTGGCCTCCTGCCTGGTGACATGAATCTTCTCCCCCCTCCAATTCGCCCATGATTGGACACTCCTCTCAATCTCCTGTATAAGGAGCCCTTCACGGTCGAGATGAGTCAACTTCGGAATGTTGTTCGCGTTACACAGAAGGGGGTGCATCCCTGTCAAGTCCTGCAGACGGACTTGCACATGGCCTCCTACCTTGGGGTAGGGTAGATCTGCACACATACAGATCGACACATCAACTTTTGCAAAAGCACGCTGATTGTGTAGCATATCCGCAACCGACGGGTTCTTAACCCATACGATCCGGACGGTGCTCCGCGCAACTTCCATCAAACAGCTTGGAATATATACTCCCATCAGCTTATCGTTAACAACTTTCCTAACTTCTACTAATTTAATACGGTCATCAAACTTCAAACGCACCACAATCTTGGCGCTAACGTTCCAACCACGTGCCTCCTTGATCGCTCTCGACACTAACCGTCGTAGGTACGCTGTCGTTGAAGCTTTCTGGAAGTCAGTTGCCGCCTTCATCAGCCTTACCAGCGCTTCAAGCCTGCATTGCTTGAGGATCTTCATCCTTTTCGGATTCCGAAATAGGCTACACAAGAATCGTTTGTTCGGCCCTGATCTTGGTCTCCATCGTCCCAATTGTAGGAACTCCAAATGAGCGTCTTCCTCCAGGTAGGTCTTACATTCATAAAGCTTCCTACGATGTCCCTTCGCCTTCACGTCAGATGAACCAAATGCTGATTTCAGCGATTTCCAGCTTCCGCACTAGCTATTGCCCTTCGACGTGCTCAACACGAAATTACGCTGGTCCGATGCTTCTTGCTCTTCTACGAGTTTGAAGATGTCCACTCTCCATTCGTCATTCCCTTCCACACGTGCTCTAACCACCATTGTCTTGTTGGGATTCTGTGCATAGTGCTGCTTCGTCTTGTTGCGCTACTAGTGTGGCCCGAGCCCACTTGCCCGGCCATGCAAAAAAAAAAAAAAAAAACTTTATTTTTGATTTTGAATATGGTATGAAATTTTCATGTGACCCTAAAACAAAAGTTGTTCAGTTTATTTTTCTGCATAACATCGTTGTTTTTCGGATTTCTTTGATTTCTTCGATTTTTTTTTTTTTGCTAAGACCTTCCCTAGTCCTTCCACGACCGGGCCGTCCGAGAAAATAGGGTGACCCGGGCGGCCCAGCTGGTAGCCTAGATTTTGATTCAATTTAAAAAAAATACAAGTCCATTTTTTATTTTTTCCGTCTGACTTTAAAATTTTCCTTCCGAGAATGTGGCATCTTTTTTATTTGAACTACATGCTAGAGATGGAATGAGAATCGAGATGAGTTCTTAAATATTCTATTTGGCTAGGTAGCATGGTTTATCTGGCCGGATAATCTGGTCGGATTATCTGGCCGGATGATCGGGGGGTAGGATCATCCGGAAATCCGGATGATTAAAAAAAAGGCCTAAAAAAAA